AGCAGGCATCAGACAGACAGCATCAGACAGACAGCGGGCAAACCAAAAAGGACCATATGGACGAGTCAGCCTAGTCCAAACTGGGCTAGCTTCTTTTTTGAAGGCCTGGAACATCCCCCCAAGATCGCCAGCAGCCAATCATATCACACGCTAAGACGCCGCTTATCTAAGTAGAGGCAGGTGTACTATCCCCTTTTTGGCATAGCGTCTGTGCCGGGCCAGGTGCTGAGTGGCTGTGAGTGATGGCGGACGAAAGCTGAGTCATCCAACCCCGGCCAAAATAAGGTTTTGGCCGGCGCAGGACTGTCTTCCCTGGTTATGATTTGGAAAGAAGTACTCCGTAGTACGGAGTAGATATACTTCTCATTGCCACCAACAAGCAGCTGGTCAAAATGTATCCTTTCCATCCTTGTCAATGAGTGTGCTCGATTAGACCAGCAGAGGTAGACCCCGCCTTTGAAAATTTCTTTATTTGGACTGTCTAGATGTCCTTTTACTCTAGTACTACTTGTTTTATTTCTATTTCTTTATTTAGAAATATAACTGCAATCTATTCAACTTGAGAAGCAGCGGATAAAAGAGGCAGCAGAAGCAAAGAAGCAGAAGCACGCGACTGAGTCTGGCATCCATGGGATTCATGGGTGCAAGGGGAGGTACGGAGGTACCGAGTGCTTTACTGCATCCAAAACAAGCTGAAGAGAAAATCAACCATTTGGACCCTTCTGCCACAGCCTATTCGCCAACTAACTCCTCCTGTTCTGCATCCTACCTGGCAAACATGCAGGGTTGCCAACCCGTTTAAATCCCTGTCAAGCTCCCTCCCCCCCGCAACTCCCAAAATCCAGCCTTGTTCTGCCACGGAGGTGCAGAGGTGGTGCATCCCATACGAGTTGCTTATCAAATATAACTAATGACTACATATGTACTCTGTTCAGTACCTATTAGATGTTCGATACCTGGAGGGCGGAATCAGTTCTTTCAATGGGATGCTAGGCGGACTGGATCCACGAAATAGATCAAATCAGATAGATATTATGTATTGTACATGTACATACATAATAGTACTTTCCCTCATGAGCTAAATAACTTAAAAATGAGATGTGGCATATCCCATGTGCAAGGGCGAATAGCGACAGAGTGGAAGGCCGTATTGATATATGAATGGACGTTCTCTGTCATGTGTATATAGATTTAAAACTGAGCTACATAAGAGTCAACCTCCTATTATCACAAAAGAAAAAGAGAAAAAGGAAAATGCTTAAACTCCATTTCAAATATTCTTTGATTAGGTTTGTATAAATGATGTGAAATTAGTTAGCATCTTCTCGTCTAAATATATAATTTACATTTTGTAAATTCTTTTTCTTTTTCTTTTTCTTGTTCTTTTCTTTTCTTTTAACTTACCTTTTCCTTCCATCTCTACTCTCTATGTGGTTCAAAATCATATCTATCTTCACACTTGATGCCTATTGAATAAATGAGTGCTCTGCTGCCTGTCTGTGACTGGCGGCTATTTTTTGGAGTATTTGATCTCACACAGTTGCCGGACACTATCGAGTGAGCGGGGACACGAGGTTAATCATATTATCAAATGATACGAACAAGCTCAGTTGGCTGCTGCTGCTGGAAAACTGCTTCCTATATTAATTTCTAGGCGGGTAGACTGAATATACTATAGAAGGCCGTAGCACTCGCCCCTCCTCTTTTTTGTTTCTTTTTTTCATTTTTGTGATATCAGCCTTGATTCAAGCAGCGCTTGTTGGGTACTAATTTTGATTTATCTTTCTCTGAGTTCTCGTTTTTCCTCTCTCCCTCTGCTTTTTCTCATTGTATGGAATGGCAATGCACGTTGTTGGTTCAGCACGGTTTCTGTGACTCCATATGCGGTGAGAAGGAAGGAGTTTGTTTGGCTTGACCTGACATCTTGCAACCAACGCAGGAGCAGGAAATCCCACAATTACAGAGTATCGGTAAAACGCTGGTGGATGGAAGCTGTTCGAGAAAAGTATTGGGGTACTATAAAACATACTCAACATATTAATATTCACCCCGCCCTTCGGATATGATGTTGTTCTGTTCCTGGTGGAAGGGCATATTCATTGTAATGGATGCAAGTTATGCAGATACTAGTACTTCTAGTTCTGCCGGGAGAGGGAAGGGGGAGGCGGGACGTGGATGCGCAATGCCGGTGGTCGGGTAACTTGGGCCGTGGAAAGGTATGCGCGGTTAAATATCACGGATGTCGAGATTATATACGGAGTATAGATCTGGAGGGCCGCACGCTGCCATAGAACCACTATCACAAAAAGTTCCCCCGGATATTACACACGTTTGCTGGGGCTAACTGTTTCTGGGAAGGGGCTGGTGGTTGAGAATGTTCCGAGGCACCGAGGATCCCTCGGGCCCCCCGCAACTAACCACCACAAGCTGGGGAAGTTGGGAGATGTTGCGGGCTATTTCGAACATAAATACCTTCCCGCATTTCTTTGTTGCCGCTAATCAAAATATACATTTCTTTTCTTTCAGTGAATTCATCATCATCGTTTTCATTTATTCATAAACGAACAGAAAAGACCTGTAAGTGCTACTAATCTAGTACTATTTGGAGGAAGAGAAAGAAACCCCAGGCTAACTCATCACAGTAGATTAAGAAATAATTTAAATTGTCTTCATATATCAAGCTCATACATAGCATAACCCCCACGTGCAGCACACAGATACAAAAATGGGCAAAAAACAAGCAGGCCCCGCCTACGTCCTCGGCGTGGGTATGACCAAGTTCATAAAACCCCGTGGCAAAGTCGACTACCAAGAGCTGGGCTTCGAGGCCGGGGTCAAGGCAATGCTGGATGCCCAGATCACCTACGATGACGTCGAACAGGGCGTCGCTTGCTACTGCTACGGCGACTCCACCTGCGGCCAGCGAGTCTTTTACCAATTTGGCCTCACCAAAATCCCTATCTATAACGTCAACAACAACTGCTCCACGGGCTCCACGGGCCTTGCCATGGCGCGGACCATGGTCGGCCATGGTGCGGCGGACTGCGTGCTCGTCGTAGGCTTTGAGAAGATGAACCCGGGCAGTCTCCAGGCGAATTTCAATGACCGAGCGAACCCTACTGGCCTCTTTGGTGAGATGATGGCGCAGACCCGTGGCATCACTAACGCCCCGGGTGCGGCGCAGATGTTTGGAAATGCAGGTCTTGAGTATATGGAGAAGTGAGTTTTTTACAGGCTTTCCTCCAACATGCAAAGGTAAGAAAATATCATTTTTATGCTAACAAAAAATTAACCCCAGATACGGTGCCAAAGCCGAAGACTTCGCCGAAATCGGTCGCATCAACCACGAACACTCCAAACGAAACCCATACTCCCAATTCCAACAAGAATACACCCTTGACGAAATCTCCAAGGCCCCCATGATCTTCTACCCGCTCACCAAGCTCCAATGCTGCCCAACCTCCGATGGCGGCGCGGCCGCGGTCATCGTCTCCGAAGCTTTCCTCGACGCGCGCCCACATCTCAAAGACCAGGCCATCCTCATGGCCGGCCAGACTATCGCTACCGACGCCCCTTCCGTCTACGACACCAGCTCCATCAGCCTCATGGGCTTCGACATGGCCCGATATGCAGCCCGCACCGCCCTCGCCGAGGCCGGCGTCGATGTCAAATCCGTCAGGGTCTGCGAGTTGCACGACTGCTTCTCAGCCAATGAGATGACGACCATCGACGCGCTGGAGCTGTCGGAACCCGGGAAGGCGCACGAGATGGTTCGTCGGGGTGATATTACCTACGGTGGCAAGATGGTCATTAACCCTTCCGGCGGGCTGATTTCCAAGGGCCACCCGCTCGGCGCGACGGGTGTGGCGCAGTGCGCGGAGCTTGTGTGGCATCTGCGCGGCTGGGCGAATAATCGTCTGGTGAAGGGCACGGATGCGGCGTTGCAGCATAACCTGGGCCTTGGGGGTGCGGTTGTGGTCACTGTTTATAAGCGCGGGGATGGGAAGGCGGCTGTCGCGGTTCCAGATGAAGTTGTTGGCAAGATTAATGGATTGGGGTATAACCCGGCTGTTGTCGCCAAGGGGTTCACAGCTGAACAGGCGAAGCGCGTTCTTAGCAAGGAGAATACGAGCCAGTGGGCATTATCGGATACACAGGAGAAGGTCATTGCGCGGTTCTGAGGGCGTCACGTTATCATTAATTCAGGTGTCCCCTCTGCCCCCCTCCCCTCCCCTCCCCACCCGGCGGGATGCATTTTATGACGAATGACAATAATTTGCTTTGTTTTCCCATCCTAACCGTGCCAACACTGTCTCTTCCAACTTATTATTTTCCCTTTTACCCTCATCTTGTACATAGCCACATTATTTTAATTTCCTTTATTTATATCATTATTTGACATGTCCTACCCCTTACAAGGATATTGCGTAGTTAATTCCTTGAAACTAGAATGAAAATGGATTCTATTATATTAGAAAGAAGAAAAAAACCAAAATCTCAAATCTTCTCAGCTTTGGCCATTTTTTCCAATTATTTGTACCTTGTGGTACCCATAGTGAGCTCCTACCTCGGAAGCCATCCGCTTCAACCTGAGGTGTGTTTTTGAGGGTTTCGGGGTTTTCGGTCAGCTCGGGATGTTTTTATTAAAAACAAATTACTCTCGAGTTGGAATCGATAACTTCCTGAGATGCTGCGGCGTAAAAATACCTAGATATATATTGTGTCAAGAAGATTGGGGGAGAATGGTGAGAGTAAGTTGTGGTGAGTGTCGTAGCTCTAAACACGTCGGCATCGGCATGTATGCAACATAGTGACATCCGTATCCATATATTCTTCAGCACAACAAAATCCCCAACACCCCGTAATAAAAGTTATATAAGTTACATAACTCATCAAATGTGTCTCTGGGGTCTCTACCGATGTATATAATTATATAGAACTACGCTCTTTTTCTGCGTATTCAGTTTTGTACGTTTTTTGAGCCCCACTCAACCAAAATGGCGCCAGTGGTCCAATGGTTAGGATTCTTGCCTTCCACTCCGACTAAAATGTTAGTTTGATGTTGAAAAAAATAGAGCATGAGGCCCGTGTTCGATTCACGGCTGGCGCATAAGCTCTGAGCATTCTCTCACTTTTTTTTATTTTTATTTTTTTTATTAATTTGCGTTGCGTTTTGCTGATTTCACAACGATCTAGGATGCTTTTTCGGCGATTTTTTGCTTCCCGAGCTTCTTCTGTTATTCGGCCCGAGCTCCGTTCGCACTTTCCCAACCTTGGAAGGAAGGTTCCTGGCAATCCTAACACGTGATCACCATCTCTCGCTTACCTCAAAAAAAAAAAAAAAAATTCCCTTCTCTTTGTCCCTCTTCTCTTCTTGTTTTCTCTTCATACATATTCCAGGTCTCCGACATACCCTTGTCGTGGTAGTCATTGCAAATAATGATTATTTTTTGCCTCCATTACCTCTGCAAATTACAGAAGAGACCGAGAGCAAATTTTAGGAACATGCCCGTTCTAATCCCAGCTGTTGTTTGGGTGTCATGTCAAAATTTTTTGGCCGCCTGACGAGTCGATTGATGGGTTCGCTTTTTGGGCATATATATATCCACGTTTCGTCTGATTATTTTTTTATATCCCCACCACCCCATTGGTGCATATCCAGGGTGAGGAAATTTGGCATTCATTCTTCGGGGTGTCACGATGGCGATGTTTGTTCAAAATGGATGCCAATGAGGAGAACCGAAGCCGGAGTCGTCGTTGTATATTTCTCTAAGAAGACGTTCAACAAAAAGAACTCTTGATAGAGATTATGAATATTGGCCCTCGGCAATGTTTGCGTTGCCCCTCTCTCTCCAAAAAACACAGAAGGCGGTTGTTTTTATCAGCAGCAACTCTGCCCAGGCAGCCGTTCGATTATACATGTATAGACTGACGGCTGATGAACCATTTACAGCCCCTGAACAAAGAAGACTTTTTATGTTTATGTCTCTAGATCCACTCATATCCTCTTCCACCCCAGTTTACTCCTTTTGCTAGTACGAACGCCGCTGGCAATAATTTCTCGGCGTGCTCCGGAGTGTTATTACTTGCAAAAAAAAAAAAAAAAAA